AAGGAACTGGTGCGCGGTGGCACATAGTCCTTCGGTCCCCGAAGCCATGTGGGTAAACAGGCTGCTTAGAGACGAGCGGGGCACAGAGACAGACACATGGGAAGACACCCCAGTGAGTCAGCCGGGAGAAGAGGGCAGCAAGGAGGTAAAATCTGATGGGGAGGATGAAGGTGTCTGATTCGTTGCAGAGAGTGGCGCAGGGGGGTGGATTTTAAATAGTTTTCAAGTTTAGCTGCATTGGACTTGGCCATGCACGTGAGAAGGAAGCATGCAGCCCAGTGCTGCTGGCAGAGCTCGTGTGGACGGACCTGGTGCGGCCACATCTCATGCGGCCGGGCACTTATGTGCACGGAGGGGTCGCTCCCGAGAAGAGAGGTGGGGTCTCAGAGCGGGGGCTCCTGAGGGTGGCCCCGGGCCAGAAGCCTCAGCATCATCTGGGAACATGTTAGAAGTACAGCTTGGGCCTTCCCTGGCCTTCGAAGTAAAACAAACAGACTCCAGGAGGAAACAGGGCCCACCCTTCTGTTGTAAGAAGCCCTCCCAGTGATTCTGATGCCACCTCGGGTGTGGGAACCGCTGGATGGGCGGCATCAGCAGCAAGGAACCAGCACCGTGGGCAGCGCACACACCCTCTGCCACAGGGAGGGAAGGGGACGCCTGCGCCACCTGTCACCCGGAGCTTCTCTCCCAGGAGGAGGGAGCTGCTGTGCAGACTGCTCCTTTTCCCAGTCTTCAGAGCCATGGATTATAACGTGGCTTTTCCACACTTCTCCAAGAGGCAGGGGGAAGAGTCGGAGGGCCTTCCGTGTAAGCAGCAGCTGTTCTTGGGGTGAGGAAGACAGAGCCCTAACACTTCTAGACCAGAACTCACAGCTTGGGGAGGAGGTGGTCACCTGGGTAGCTCAGTGGGTTGCCCATCCTACTTCTGCTCAGGGCCTGATCTCATGGTTCGTGGGTTCGAGCCCCGCATCAGGCTCTGTGCTGACCCCTTGCTCAGAGTCCCGAGCCTGCTTGGGATTCTGTCTCCTTTGCTCTCTGACCCCCCGCCCCACTTGTGCTCTGTCTCACTGTCTCTCAAAAATAAATGTAAAAAAAAAATTAAAAGGAAAAAGAGCTCAAAGCTGGGGGCCGACCAGGTGGGAGTTCATGGAATGGCCGGCTTTCCCCGCAGGGACCTCCGGAGTCCAAGGTGCTTGGCAAACAGGTGCTCTTGGCGTGCGTGCTCCCTTCACAGCCTTGGGCTCATGGAGGACTCGTGTGGTCACTTTGCTCAGACTGTCCTAAGGATGTGGGGCTTGGAATCCCTCAAAGCTGAGTCACTGTTGGCTTTGTTAGACACTTCATGGGGGAGAGCTGAGGCAGGTCCCATCAGCCCGCTAGACCTCCACAGTGTGTGTTTCCTCTCCTCTCACCCCTCCCTCTCACCGATTCATTTAACAATCCAGTTTATTCAGACTGCAGAAGTTATTCGTTAGCCAACGAATGAGGGTAGCGATGTGTTCACTAAGACAAGTCACCCCCAGCGCTCGGTACTTCGTAGGTGCTTAACAAACGCTTGTGCATACGTAAGTGAATCTCAGGTCTACTTTTTTACTCCAACATAATCAGAACTTTTTTTTTTTTGCTTCTAAGTAATTCTACTCCCCATATGCCATCATGATCAATCATAATATACAATTAAGACCACGTATATAGCTTGCGTTTGCCGAGTATCTTATAATACGGTTTCCACATCACCCTAAAACTGTAAAACCAAAGCTGGTGCAGAGCTGTTGCTTTTGACTTGCTAGTAACGGAGCCGTGAAGGCCATCCCTTCGTCCACAGGGGTGAGCACTGTGGACGCAGCCGGGCCCTGGCCCTGCTCAGAGGAAAGGAAGTGTGATCGGAAGGTCTCTTCTGAGTCTCGGTGAACATAGCACAAGCAGGTGTGTGCTCTGCAGGATGCTGGCTCAGTCATTTCCATTTGAGGCTGTTTCTTCTTATTAATTATCACTACCTTCCCCCTGTGGGGCCGAGAGACTCAGCGATGCCATCATGTATGATATAATTTTGTTAAGAGGCAAATAATTGCTTCTGAGTATCTTCACGAAGTGCTTCTCAGAGCAGCTGAGTAACACAAAAGAGCCAACTGCATGCTTGGCAGCGGGGATGGGGCTGAACATAGCCCAGAACAAAAGCACACAGGGACCTTCGTGGCGGTCACAGAGTCACAGCGACTGTTAGTGTCTTGATCTGGGGACACCGTGGACAGGGCCTGGTTCCATGATGTCAGGGAGGGTCGGTCTTTGCAGGGTCCTTGCCGGGTGGGGGACGGGCATGCACGAGAGGCGACCTCACTATAGCCCTGTGGCCGCCGCAACAGAGCCACCTCCATGGGGCGAGGTGGCTAGGCAGGCACCCTGCCAGGGTGGCTCATGGCTACGCCCGGCTGCCCCTCTGCATGACATGGCAGGTTGATGTTGGCCACCGGGCTCCAAACAAGTGCTTGAAACAAGTGAGATGGATTCTGAACACGCCATTCATGGGTGCAATTTATGCGGGCCTGCGGCAGAAACCGTCTGGAGGCGGTCACAGAAGCTCGCTCCGTTTCTCGGGACACAGAAGGGTCTGCGGGTGGCTGAGTGGATGCCACAGCAGGGGGCACGCAGGGAGGGTTGATGCGAGCACCACAAGGGAAATCCGCCGTTCTCCCTGGAGTCCCGCTAATGGAGGGTGATGACTCTTCATAGTCATCTGGCTCTGAATAAAGGAGTCCTGCATTCTGCAAAATGCCCCTCCCACTGAATCCTGCCCTGAAGGCATCTCGTGTCTTCCTTTAGGGTCACAGGATGACAATGACTGTGCACAGCGCGTCTGACGCCTCCATGGGGTCCCTGCCCTTCAGTGACTGGGCTGCTGAGATGCACAGCAGCAGGGGCCTCAGTGCTTGTGGATCCTGCGTGTGTGTGCGTGCGTGTGCACTTGTGCACGCATTGGGCACAAAGACATTCTCAAAGGCGTTAAAAGGCGTTCCCCTTTTAACGGGGAAGGGTTTTTCCTTTAATGTTGTTCCTGGAAATGGCTTTATTAGAATATAATGCCATGATATTTTGAAAAGCAGTCTCCCCCAGCCCCCTTCTGGCTTTGTGGTTTAGTAAAGTCGGGCCAGTTTAACACCCGGTCCTGAGAATTTTCCTGTGAAACACATACTTACTGCCTTGTTACCGCAAGAAAAAGGTTCTCTTCTAGGGGCGAGCCCGAGCACTGTGTGTCTTCTCTTCCCACAAGGTCTCATCTTCGTGTCACAAGGTGGGTAAGCTGCAGGCCCCTGAGCCAGAGAGGGTGTCTCCCTCTGACTCAGTTTTCCCCTCTGTGGAAAGAGGGTAAGAACAGTACCTACCTCACGATTATCGTAGAGAGTAAATGGGTTGATGTTTCTAAAGCAATGAAAACGGCGACTGGTGCGTCGGAAGCTTTGTGTGTCAGTCCCGCCTGCGTTTTTATTTCTTGTGGGATCAGTAAGCACCACTCACTGGTGTTGGGGTGTATGGTGAGGAAGGCCAGGCATCACCACAGAGCACTTCTGGATTCTTCCTTTTCACAGTTTGGATGGTTGTATTTGGGAAAACAGTTACGCCTTTTAACAAGTTGGGGGCAAATAGGTTGTCACAGCTGCTCAGTCAGTTCCTAGAGAATTCATTTGTCAGACAATGATGATGAGGATGATGATGGCTGACACACGTATCTGCAACTTACATGTTCTGAGTGTTGGCAAATATTCATTTAATTCCCATGATTAGCCTTGAGGTAAGTACAGTTATCATCCCCAGTTAAGAGGTGAGGAAACTGAGGCACTTAAGGTTTTGTTCAAAGTTGCACAGTCCTTCTGTGGCGCAGTCGGGGTTCTTACGTACATACTGCCTGGTCCTGGCCCCTGCTCTTGAACTTCACCTTCTGCTCTCCTCTCTGCTGCGGTGCAGCCACTGGCTTCCCGTTCCTCGAATGCCCTGCCTCAGGGCCTTTGCATTTGCTAGTAGCACACCCCAGTTCCTGCAGAGCTGGTTCCTTCTATTCTGGTCAAACTCAGGTGTCCCCTTTCCTGACTCATCTAAAGTGTAGCCCGGCCCTGTCGTTCCTCTTCACATTATCCTGTCTGCTTCCCCGGCTAGAGCAGGAAGAGGCCTTTTTCTGACTGATTTACTGCTAAGTACCTGGCACAGCGTTATTTAAAATTTGTTGCGTAAATATCAGTGCTAATGATTTTCATCATGGTCTTAGCTCCTTCTCGCATGTATGCGTGCAGCGCAAATCGTGTGTCTGCGTGTGTGCATGCACACACAGGCGGGAGCAAATGCGCGAATGTGGAGGGAAAGAGAGATCCTAATCTCAGTACGGTGGTGCAGAATCACGAACTTCTCTGAGCTACAGTCCTGGCTCCGATGGTGGCCTGATGTTTTTAAGGGTGAAGCACCTCGTGCTGGGCTCTGAACAGACTGTCACCTGTTAAAGGAAATGTGTGAGGGTCTCAGCCAGCAAATGATCAACAAATAAAACCTATTTTAAAATTCGGGTAAAACAGATACTACTCTAAAAAGTATACGTATTTACATATGTGTTTATATACATATATTTTTTACACACACACATCTTCCTGTCTTCCACTGGTTTAAATTATATTCATTTCATTTATTTGTTCTAGGGACCTGCCCACCAGATCTCTCCAGGGCTTCCATTGGGGAATTTGGCAAAGAAATGGGGTGCCAGGAATCAGAAATCAGGACTCTGACAAAAAGGGATTTTCTGTTCCTTTAGCTGAGAATTCTGGGCTACTGTAAATGCCACAGGTCTTGGCTGAGGTGTGAGGCTCACTACGAGGCTGGAGAAATCTGGCCTGGATGGGCTCCTGTAGTTTGGTTAGGCTGATGACAGCATTTCGGATGCCGTCCTGCGGCTTGACCAGGCCCTGTGTTAACTGCTCTCCTCCTGGACCACGACCTCACCCTCACCTGTTCTGCCCTAGATAACCAGTTCAGGATGTCCATCCTAGAACGTCTGGAGCAGATGGAAAGGAGGATGGCGGAGATGACGGGGTCCCAGCAGCACAAACAGGGGAGCGGAGGAGGCAGCAGCGGAGGGGGCAACGGAAGCGGGAATGGAGGCAGCCAAGCTCAGGTACCGGCCTGAGCCGACACCACCTTCCATTTTGTCTATTTTGCTTTATTGATCGGGGAGGGACCTGATCACAAGTCCTGTGTCTGGTGCTGGTATCGTTCCTGGATTAGTCCCGGGGAGTGCTTCATAATCCCGTGCCCCTACGTCTTAAAATCTGCGTAATAGCACAGAAGCCTTGAATGGTGGCGCTTCTCAGTTGTTGACCTCCCTGAGCCTTAAATCGTTGCTGCTGATCTCAGAGTTCAGCACTGCCGCCTGGCCGTGCGGGCAGAGGGTGTCCCCTTAGAAAACAGGCCCGACGGCGACTCAGAGTTCAGTTGGACTCTATTTTGTATTTTGGATTCCGTATCTGTTTTAAGTATAAAAACAAAACATGATCAAACTCGGTCACTTATAAGCCTTTTGTAAAGTCAAGACGATCAATATCAGAAGGACCCAGAGAAGCTGTTTCTGGAATTATTTGGTGTGGGACAACATTACCCCTGCTGTCCTGTTTTCACATATGCTTTCTCATAAATTCCATGAAGAATTTGCCAAACAGGGAAGTTACTAAATATTTTTTGAGAGCCCCATTAGTCTTGAAGGCTTCCTATAAATTTTATTTACGGGCTTCATTTTGAGAAAATGACCTGGGCAGAAATTATTTTTCAGGAGACCCTAGAGGCAGATTTTCAAAGGATGGATAGCATTCCTCTCTCTCCTGCTGAGTTATTATTCCCTGCAAACCCCGAACACCTCCCCCTCTTCCTTCAAGATGAATGATGATTTCCTGTGAACAGTTACATTTTTAAGTAAAACGTTAGAGTTTGATGATCCTTGTAAATATCAAGTGCTAATACTATTTGAATACTAAGAGGCAAAACCAAAGCGTTTTATGGACCACACCCAAAAACCTAACCCCTTTTCCCCCAAGTGGTGTTCTCATTTCTTCCCTGTCTTCAGAAGTCCAAAGAAAGACTTGGCACGCAGTAAAATATAATTAAGGCTACAACAGGCTTTTCACCTAGACTCTTAACATTTTAGAAAAGAAGTAATCGTTCTCTGCTGTATCTCATGGCTTAAATAAGAGATTCCCATGAAAACCTTCTCCTGTCTCCGGAGTCTGCATCAAGGGAATAGAATATCATGTCGTTTTCAGCTCAACCATTCGGTAACTGGCCTATGACAACCTGATCCCATGTTAAGTGCTATTGAAGACTCTTCCGTTAATTTAAGGTGTCCTCAATACATATCTGGGTCCACCTTTTGTGATAAAGATGTGGCTCTTTTTGTGAATGCAAAAAAATTCCATCCCTGCTCACTAACCCGTAACCTTCTGTGCTCGTGAACGTGTCTCGGGAGCGGCTCTGTCCTTTTTGAGTCAAGGTCGTTCTGCCGCACAGTGGGATCACCCACCGGTGCTCCTTTAAGACATTTTGACAGCTCTAGTGAGGGTGACATTTTATCTGTCATCTGCCTTTTGATCCTTGCATGTTTTTTCCCCCCAGACTTAAAAATAGAAAAGGAGAGGCAACAATATTTCCATAGTAATTGAATTCTGTGGACTTCATTGCTGGAAAAAAAGATTTAAAAAAATAATAATAATACCAGAGAAGAATCAGGCCGGAAGTATCCTTTCTTGGGGGAGAATCTTAAACACAGAATTGCCATCACAGAGACTCACATGAACTGTTGAGGTTACTACATTCGATTCTATGTTTCTTGCTCTACAACCGAATGAAGAGAAAAAAGCCATGGTGAAAACTAGTGAATTTCTCTTTCTGGTGTGCCTCTACTGTTATTCATATCACTTACATTTGAAGATCTCTAATGCTTTCCCCAAAGGGTGGGATCATTACCGGATTTTTTAAAGTGTTTCTTCGGGGAGGGGGGCAGAGAAAAGATCCCCGTCTAAGTGACTTAATTCTCCTTCAGGAGGAGCAGGGGAGGCAGAGGTCTGGGTGTGTCCCCAGATGCAAGAATTGGGACGGCCATCCTGCTCTCCTCTGCTAGCAGGCCCCGGTCCGCAGCGCCGGCTTCAGCTGGAGGCTAGTGGCACTTTTATAGCGGTGCACTCCCTCCCTGAGACGGACCAGCATGACCTTCGTATCCGAATGTCAGCTGTGATCGACTCTGGCGCTCTCCGCATTACGGAAAGTCCCCCCGTGCCCCGAGCGCAGCTGCGTGCCGCCAGCTGAGCCACACGCGTGCAAGTCTGTTCCGTGACGCCCCTTCAGGCGCAGTTTCGTGTTTCCCGTTCCGAGCGGCTAACCGTAAAGCGTTTTGCTTCTCCTCCATGAGAAGGTTGCCTCTGCAGAGGGCCCTGGGTCCTCAGTGGTAACGCAGCCTTCCAACCCCTAGTGTGCCTCTGGTCCCGGGACGCTGGGCAGCTGCTTCGAGAGCCGCGTGGTCGTCGTGTGTGAGAAGATGATGAGCCGCGCCTGCTGGGCCAAGTCCAAGCACTTGATCCACTCAAAGACTTTCCGGGGGATGACCCTCTTGCACCTGGCTGCCGCCCAGGGCTACGCCACCCTCATCCAGACCCTCATCAAATGGCGGTAAGGCTGGGGTGCGGACGGCCTGTGAGCAAAGGGCTTTCTCTGAGGACAGTTCCCAAGGGAATCCCAAGAAATGCCGAGCCAGATGCTAACCTAATATTGCACTCTCCGCTTTCCTCGGGCCTCGTAACCCAAGCCACCCTGCGAAATTAGGGACTCTGTTTTCTTCACGTCAGGGATGTCAGATGCCTACTTTGGTTTCATTTTTGTGGGTCTGATAACATTCTAGTGTTTCTTGAACCTTAATTAATTGTGCAGTAATTTCTGGTACCGTCCCTTACAGCACAAAGCACGCAGACAGCATCGATTTGGAACTGGAAGTTGACCCTTTGAATGTGGACCACTTCTCCTGTACTCCTCTGGTAAGGAATGGGCTCATTTAATCCCCGAACCGTTCTTCTAAACTGGCATGGGGGGATGGTAAGGTCTTACATCCCCGTTGAGATTGTCAGCAAGGACCAACTTCTCCATCGGCGAGAAGAGCAAACGTGAAGGATGGTTCTGAACTTGTCCTGAGAGAGCTTGCTGTGTCTCCCCTGTCGTTTTAGATGTGGGCGTGTGCCCTCGGGCACTTAGAGGCGGCCGTCGTGCTGTACAAGTGGGACCGTCGGGCCATCTCTATTCCGGACTCTCTCGGAAGGCTGCCTTTGGGGATCGCCAGGTCGAGGGGTCACGTGAAATTAGCAGAGTGTCTGGAGCACCTGCAGAGAGATGAGCAGGCTCACCTGGGACAGAACCCCAGAAGCCACTGTCCTCCGAGCGAAGAGCCCAATACAGACAGCTGGATGGCGCAGTGGCACGGTGAAGCCATCCACTCACCGGAAGTATCCAAAGGAGTCACCGTTATTGCAAGTACCAATCCAGGTAAAAATGCAAAATGATTACATCTCAGAACTTGGCACATTTCCCATTTGCTTTCGTGCAGTGACCCCCAGAAAAGTCCATAGGATATTCACATAACATTTTAAGGGTTTGGGTTTGGGAGCTTCTGTTTTTTGTTTTTTGTGTGTTTTTTTTATGTTTCCGATTTTTCTTTTAGCTGTAAGAATGCCTACTGCTTCCCTCCTACCCCTCCCAAAAACGAATGCAGAAAGTAGCAAAAAAAAAAAAAAAAAAAAAAAAATCTGTGTCCATTTAAGAAAGAAACACAGATTTTGGAGGACTATCTGAATACCGTATACGCGGCTGGGGAATATTTAAATGTTAGGGATGCGTCTTGAGTTCCCGCTTCGCACTTCGTGTCTCTCAGGCAATAGAGAAAGTGTTAATTCTTTAGGGTTCCTAACTTTATCGCCTGTCCTGACTGTCCTTTCTACTGTACTTTTCAGAGCTGAGAAGACCTCGTTCTGAACCCTCTAATTACTACAGCAGTGAGAGCCACAAAGATTATCCAGCTCCCAAAAAGCATAAATTGAACCCTGAGTCCTTCCAGGCAAGGCAGCAGAAACTGCTCTCCACTGCACTGAGTCTGGAACAGCCAAATATCAGGAAGCAGAGCCCTAGTTCTAAGCAGTGTGTCCCTGAGACAATCAGCCCCAGTGAAGGAGTGAGGGACCACGTCCGGGAAACCTCCCCTCCCGTTCCAGAGACTGCAGGACTCCAAGCCTCTGGATCTCAGCCCGTAGTAAAGTGGAGTCCCAAAGATCTTTACATTGGTGTGTCTACAGCACAGGTGACTGGAAATCCGAAGGGGACCAGTGTAGGAAAGGATGCCGCACCTTCACAGGTGCGTCCACGGGAACCAGTGAGTGTCCTGATGATGGCTAACAGAGAGGTGGTGAATACAGAGATGGGGCCTTACCGTGATAGTGCAGAGAGCGAGGAGTGCGCACAGCCCATGGACGACATCCAGGTAAGCACGGACGAGGTAAGCCTGCAGAGGCCGGGGTGTCCGTCAGAGCGCCCCCCAATACCTTTACAGCCGGTGCCCACAGGCCGTGCAGTTCGCTCACCAGGGAAGGGTTAGGAGTGTGACCGACGCATGAGAGCGTTGGGGCGTCTTCTGGGTACGGGCCGTGTTTTCACTGAGGGAATCAGACGTCGTGAATAGGGCCTGAAGGCCGGGGGCCTGGGTCTCAGCAGAGCCCCCCGCTCTTCACACCAGCTCCCCAGAGCTCATCCAGGGCGCTCCAGTCATATTCTGCTTCCCTCTGCATCGGGGAGACTGGTTTCCCATTTAAGTACCGGGTTAGTAGAGTCCCGGCCCAGGAGCACCTAGGACCGGAGGCCTGTGGGTAGAATTTTTAAATGACCAAATGCGATAGGAGGAGCCCAGCTGTCCTCCGGCTGTGGTAGAGGTGTGTGTGGCGCGCGGCTCTCAGGAGATGCGGTGAAGTATCCCTAAAGCCGATAATTGACTGTCTTTACAATAAGCCTAGAAACTCCAGAATCCTTGGGGGGGGCGGGGAGGTGGCTTAGTCAGTTCAGCATCCGACTTCAGTTCAGGTCACGATCTCACAATTCGTGAGTCGGGCCCCGCGTCAGGCTCTCTGCTGTCAGCACAGAGCCTGCTTCGGATCCTCTGTCTCCCTCTCTCTCTGTCCCTCCCCCCGTCAAAAATAAATGTACATTAAAAAAGAAAAACAAACCAACAACTCCAGAATCCTTTTGGGGGCATTAAACTAGCAATAAATTAAGAGAATATATAGTGAAGTAAACTTGAGGTTAAGCTATTAAGCAAACAAATGCCCCTAAATAAAGTATTCCTCCTATATTTTAGGGGAGGACCCAATGAGCAGCCTGAGTAGGAGCTTGACTTCCTCTCTTTCCAATTTCCTCTATAACCTGAAGCAAGTGTCACGGGGAAACCCCCCACAAGAGATTCAGTAGGGCACCAGGCCTGTCGCGGGGCCACGGGAGGGAGGGGCCTGGAGGTGCCCCGCCCTGGCCAGCGCTCCTGGGGGAGGTCCGGCGGCCGAGCCGCTTGTCCTCATCCCACAAGGGAGGCCCGTGTGCTCCTGGTCCCCGTGGATGGGCCAGGGGCTCCGCCGCTGACCTGCTGTCCCCTGCGGCCGTGGGGAGGCTGCCCGAGAAATCAAAGAATTTTTTAGGAAAGGGGTTGGCAGAGCTTTCCCGTAAGGGACCAAATGGCAAATATTTTAGGCTTTGTGGACCCTCTAGACCGTCATGGCTATTTAACAAAGGCAGCCTTAGATAATATTAAATGAGCGACTGTGTTAGGCGCCTGGGGGCTCAGTCGGTTGAGCGTCTGACTCTTGGGTTCAGGTCATGATCTCACAGTTTGTGAGTTCTAGCCCCGCGTGGGGCTCTGTGCTGGCAGCGCAGAGCCTGCTTGGGACTCTCTCTCCATCTGTTTCTGCCCCTCTTCCCCCACCCCCTCAAAATAAATGAATAAACGTTAAAAAATAAATAAACGAGTGAGTGTGGCTATGTGCCAGTGAGACTTTATTCACACAAACAGCCGCTGGCTTTGGCTATCCCGCATATCAATACTAAGCAGTCTAGGACAGCACTTATAAGCAAATAGTAATAAATCACCAGACAATGAAAATCGGCAGCTCATCTACGTTGAGCATCTAGAACAGTGCTGTTCACTGTAACTTTCTGCGGTGATGGAAGTGCTCTGTGTCTGTGTGCCCCATGACGGTAGCCCCTGGCTGGTGTGGTGTGTAGTGCTGAAAATGTAGCTGGTTTGATTCAGGGACTGGATTTCTGATTTTACATCATAATTTCAAGGAACTCAAGTTAAAAGCCTTTGGATACGAGAGCTTCATGGTAGCTGTCCTTTGCTAAAACAGAATCGATGCAGGAAATACAAAATAACCTGAAAAATTCTGCTTTACATTCTCGCTGAGCCTTGAGAGAATAATACTGTGCTAAATTAAGAGCATGTATCTACGAAAAAGCAACAACCTCAGGACGTATTTCAGCCAAATGAAAACATAACAGTGAAAAATAACGAAGTAATTCAAGAAATGGCAAGGCAGAGCTCGTGGAGGAGAGAGACACAAAACCGGTAAAACTGATACGTCTGAGTACTTAGTGACTATGTGATTGTGTGTACAAGGCACTGGCAGAGATTCTTTAAATCAAGGAGGAGTCACATTTTAAAACTAACCCGGAACTAATATTCTAATTATTTTAACAAAACCAGGGAGGTAGGGAAATGAAGAAGGTGAAGGGTGTTGAAGGAGCTCTCTTGCTTAGGGAAGATCACAGATTTTGTTCCCCTTATGTAGGTAAATAGAGGCTGAAATATGCTTGTTAGAAATGTCAGGTCACTAGACTGCATAAAAACAGATGACAGAATTTCTAAGTCACTGAAGGGGGAAAAAGGAAATTGTGGCCCATTTAGGAAAACGTTCAGGAAAAACAGCAACAACAGAAATAAGCAGAAAATGAAACATTGCAGGAGTATTTTCAAGCACGATTCATTCCTCACTTTGCCAGCTGACAATTCTATTAAAAGATTTTCAGTTTGGGTGAGAAAAAAAAAAAAAAAGGCAAACTATACTATATGCTGTTTGTGAAAGACAGAATTACAACGAAATAACACAAGAAGATCATGAAAACAAAGCCACGCAGCCACTGGCAAAGATATAAAGACAAATGAATATAGAAGGAAAAAAGACACCAAGTGCAATTCAAGGCCAATAGTATGTGTGTACCTTTTGTCAGAGAAGCTAGAACCCTTGGGGTTGTGGACTGTCCTGTAACTAACCTCACAGCTTATGGATATGGAAGCAAAAACCAATAAATACAAAGGAATGTGGAAGCATACGCATAAGGTGCCACTGACCTTTCCCTCAGGATTTGTCAGGTTAAGTAGATACAGAAATGTAAAAACCCAGAACAGTGCAATTAGAAAGCTGGCTTTCACATGGGTATTTAATGCATACGATAGATTTAATGCAGGGTATGCTTGTTGTGGATGTAATTAATATACATAGCAAATGTATATATATAATTTTTTTAGATGTCCCAGACATATTGTAAAAATGGCTCCTGTGCTAGATAGACCACAACAAGAATCTAAGCATGAACCCAAAGCTGCACATTTAAAGGCTAACTTGTCTGACCGCAGTACAAGAAATGTAGAAATGGATGACATGACTTTTTAGGTCCCGCTGCTTAGAACGTTATTAGTTTGTTTAAAACTACTTAAATGTCCTTGATTTTTGCAGCCCTCATGATAAAAAATGCCGTGTGGCATCCCAGAGTGTGGCACTGGTGGTGATGCTAAGATGTTCTCACACTGATGCGTGTTTATAAAAGGAGGGATTGTGTGGGGTGGGGGAGGGTGACTGTAAAGTTATAACCTTCAGTCTCCAGAAAGTCCACTTTGCTTGTAATAAAATACTTGAATCCTTTCATGGAAAAGGAATCAAGGTAGGACTTCCTGCTGCTCGAGTCGCAAATCAAGAGGCCAACATGGAAGGAAAAGAAAGGCAGTGACAGTCATTTTTATTCCTGTCACAAGAATGATGCTTGTGTATTGAAACTTTAGGAAATACTCAAGTGGTTTATTTATTTATTTATTTATTATTTTTTTTTAAAGAAAAAAAATTTTTTTAATGTTTTATTTATTTCTAGGAAAGAGAGAGAGACAGCGTGAGCAGGGGAGGGTCAGAGAGAGAGGGAGTCACAGACTCTGAAACAGGCTTCAGGCTCTGAGCTGGCAGTCAGCACAGACCCCGACGCGGGGCTCGAACCCACGAACTGCGAGATCATGACCTGAGCGAAATCGGATGCTTAACCGACTAAGCCACCCAGGCGCCCCAATACTCAAGTGTTTTTAACTCACGTCCCCTAAAACCTGCCCCCTCTGAGTGCCCTTTGTGGCCAATCTGGCCCCACGTAGAGTACCTCTGTCACCTGCAGAAAGTTTCCATGCCCTCTGGCCGTCATCTCTGCCCTCCTCCTGGCCCCAGCCACCACCGATCTGATTTCCATCCCTGAAGTTTTGCTTTTTCTGGAAATTTCATATAAATGGCATCGTAAAACATTCAGGCTTCTGTGTCTGGCATCTTGCACTTCTCATACTGATTTTGAGGCTCATTCATGTTGTCAGATAAGCGTTTTGTCACCTTTGTAAGGGTCCCAGAGAACACCTAGCATTCGCTTAAAACCTTCGACTGCTGTCTGTCAATTTCCATATTCAAGAGATGTGCAAGGAAGTCTTTAAAAACAAGGCCGTATCTCCGAGTCTGATCAGATACGTGGCAGTGCAGACCAGCTGTGAGGAGTCCTGAGCGCATCTGTTAGGGATGTATTTGGGGTGCGAGGATCGGGAGCCCAATGACTTATTTTTCTCACGTGACAAGCAGTGCACAGGCTCATTTGCTTAGTGACGCCATCAGGGACCCAGATTTTCCCTGAGCTCTCTGTCCTTTTTGGCGACATTCCTTGTGGCGCGTTGCTTCACAGTTCAAGTGTGGGTGCTGGGGCTTGTCTGTAGTCAAGGCAAGAAGGGGGCGAGCCCAGGGCATCAATTCGTTGATCAGGAGAGCAGAAGCTCTGCCCCAAACCCCGCAGCAGATGTCCGGAGAGTCTCATTGTCCAGAAGTGGGTCCCACGTCCTCCCCATTGGTGCCTAGGAAGGTGGGGAATCAAGAAGAGGATTATCTAACTGGCTTTGGTCAACTACAAGCCGTTCTCTGGGTTAGCTCATTGCTGCCCTCTAGAGGACTGGGGGGTCTCTAGGCAAGGCCTTGCTGAGAGAGGTGGGCATCCCTTAGGTTACGCCTAGACTCACCATGATAACCTGTCGGCCTGCTGTGGAACCACCCAGTCACAGTTCCATTAAGTGGTTGACCCTAGCTGCTCAGAGAGTAGGCACGAGGCAGACTTCCTCTAAGATCTGACCAAAGATTTGGGGCCAAACTATGATTTGGAGAAAATCAGGTGTCCGCACATTCGGGTGAGTTGTGTAAAACCTTACAGCGACACTGGGGTACAGCAGATAGAGGTGGAAGGCCGCCCTCGTTCCCTCCTTTTCTCTTCCCTAGGGTGGGTGGGGGCGGGGAGGGGCTGGATAACATCTGAGGGTCCCTTTTCACATGAGTGTTTCTGTGATTTCCGGATTGTAGGTGAACATGATGACCTTGGCAGAGCACATCATCGAAGCCACGCCCGATCGAATCAAGCAGGAGACCTTTGTGCCCACGGAGCCCTCAGCTTTGGAAAGAACAGACACTGCCACCATTAGCAGTACCATGAGCTGGCTGGCCAGTTACCTAGCCGATGTCGATCGTCTGCCAAGTGCCGCCCAGATCAGGTCCGTGGGAGTCCGTGGGCCACTGACCAGTGTGAATTCCCAGGCTCAGTGAAAGGCAGAGGAGTCTCATTTGATCTGATGAATGCTGTGTAACAGGAGACCTGACGGAAGGAAGGAAACTGTCAGGTCCCTCTTCCTCACCTCTTCTGTGATGTCTCTCCCCTTGTGCATGTGAGGTCATGTCCCATGATGTTTCTCTCCCCCCCCCTCCCCCCCCGCCCAGTTCAACTGAAGTTTCATCAAGGGCAGGAAAGCATCTTCAGTGAGTTTAGCGTTTAGCATTGTGCTAAACTCATGGTAGGTACTCAGTAGGAACTCACTCACTGGAGGACAGTGAAAAGTACAGAGCATGTCTAGCAACTCACTGGACTGAAGGAGGGCAGATTCTTGGTGGCGCGCAGTGGCTCTTGTCTGTTTACTCGGTATGTAATGGGTCGTGCAGATCAGTCACCGGTCTCTCTCCCTTGTGTCTCCTCTTGTTTCAGAAGTGCATATAACGAGCCTCTAACCCCTTCTTCTAATACCAGCTTGAGCCCTGTCGGCTCCCCAGTCAGTGAAATAGCTTTCGAGAAACCCAGCCTTCCCTCAGCAGCAGATTGGTCTGAATTCCTGAGCGCGTCTACCAGTGAGAAGGTAGAGAATGAGTTTGCTCAGCTGACTCTTTCTGATCATGAGCAGAGAGAACTCTATGAAGCTGCCAGGCTTGTCCAGACCGCTTTCCGGAAATACAAGGTAGAGTAGAAGAGAGCTCTGATGTCGTGACGTTTCGTAAGATCGGGGAGAATGGATGAAAGTCAGAATCATCCAAACTAAAACCTGATGCCATTTTCTTTTCCCTCTGAGTCTATAGAATTGTTGTTTGGAGTTATGATGTCACATGAGATTATTAATAATCTTCAGAAGCTTCAGTGAAATAAAACTGACAGTAGTGTGAGATCAGTATCTCCATTGATTCTTGGTAGTGATAACAGATATTTATGATTTAGTTAATATCCAGCAAGTTGACACTTGCCACAAGGAATTTATGACCTAAAGCAGGGACTTCCAACCGGATGGAGGTCTGGGACCGATTGTAGGCGGCCCATGAACTCCTGAAATTTTACGGTAAAGCTTGCGCATGTGCATTTTTGGTGGGAGAGGGTCCGCGCCCTTCCATATTCTCAAAGGAGCCCTTGACCACCCTGAAAAGGTGTTAAAAGCCAACCATCATTGATCCCACAGTAGAGTAGCTGGGGTTAAGTTAGGAACAACGGTGGAGATCTGGCAAAGTGCTTAGAGACCAATAGTACAATCCCCGATTCGTTAACTACTTGGCAGATGAATACTTTTAGACCTCCTGACATCCAGCTCTGACAGTTCTGTTTAGTAGCAGGAACTGAAGATCCATTCTGTAAATTCATTTTTTCCTAATTTCTGCTTATAACTATCACTGTATTTCGGTCAACCTGGGGTCTCAGAGAAAGTTGTATGTGAGTAATAATTCTATTTAAGTCTTAAGAAAGTTGACATTTCTGACACAAAATCAGTGTTTCTTACACTAAATCATGGTCTTTTTTCACTTTACCCTCAAGGGCCGACCCTTGCGAGAACAGCAGGAAGTCGCTGCTGCCGTCATCCAGCGCTGTTACAGAAAATACAAACAGGTAAACCACCCCTTCGGGCCCAGTGGGAAGCGCACCTCGTCCTCGTCCAAACGACAGGCCCCTGAGGGTGTTAGCGTGTGGCTTGGCCCAAGAGGGCTCTGTCCAGTGCCCGGTTCAAAGACCAACTTTGAATTGCGTTGACCAAAAAAAAACAAAAAAAAAAACCCAAAGGAACATATTCCACAGGGGGAAGGAGAAAACTAACCCAAACAACTGTCTGCAGTTAAACTTATTCCACAAAGTAATTTCTGTTTAGAGGGTTGACCTTTCGGTATGATCACCTACCTGAGACGCTGGCCCGGTGCCAAAGAAGCTCTCTGTGTCTGAAAGGAGGATCTGTGTTGCAGTTAATTTTACCTACAGCCTCTGTAGCCATTAACTCCATGAGGGAGTTTGATGTGGTGGCCAGAGAAGGTAAATAGTGGCAGTTATCTTTGACCTTGAGTTGTATAAATTATAAACTCTATAGCCACTTTTCCTTCCACTTCCTCCCGTCTGTTTTCACATCAAGACTTATAGAAACCTGAAGAAGCGTAGAACATTAAAAACGGCTTTTGCATTCCTCACTTAAGACGTACAGGAAGACGATCTAAGTGTTCTTTCACACACGGTTGCTGTTTCCAGAACACCCTGTAAGCTTCCCTAACTGCCGCCCCATGGGAAAGGGAACTAACCAGTGTGTACGGGGCCCTAGGATGTACGAGGTCTTGTGGGCGCATCATCCCATCACATCTGCTCTCTACGATGATTAGAAATAAATAATTTTGTTTCTGTTTTACAATAAAGAAGCTGAAGCTCAGAGAAAGTCCGTAAATATCAGACCTTCCTAACCAGGTGGTTAGAAAACATACAAACTTGCCTAATTCAGTTTTGACTGGTCCATAAGTTCAAGCCTGTCAGTAGATTCTAGAACCTTCTATGAGATTGTCCCATACAGAGGTTTTAAATGTTTGTCCAAGGCTTAATAAACACTGAGATGTAGAAGTGTGTTGTTATGTTCTTTTGCTATGGTCTGGGGTTCACTCTGATTTCTGATAAGGGTTGCCATTTTCTTGAGTTTCTCTAGGATTAAGCCTAGAGAAGTGAAAGGGGGTGGGCTGGGAGGGGTCCTCATCTTAGAGCCGATTGAGTTCATGATCCCAGAAAATGAAGGTTTATTGTGTAAACGCTGACACCACAGTACCTAGAGCTGTGCAGGGAGCCGTCCTCACGTGAGCAGACGCCACACAGAATCCACGCTTCACGTCTGGGATTAAAACAGGTGTTTATTCCAAAATATGAGTTTTATTTTTGTTTTCTAAAATGCCTTCCCAGGGGCACTTGGGTGGCTCAGTCGGTTGAGCGTCTGACTTCAGCTCAGGTCATGATCTCACGGTTTGTGGGTTCAGGCCCCGCGTCGGGCTCTGTGCCGACAGCTCGGAGCCTGGAGCCTGTTTCAGATTCTGTGTCTCTCTCTCTCTTTGCCCCTCCCCTGCTTGCACTCTGTCTCTCAAAAATAAATTAAAAACAAAAAACCCTCCCAAAGAAGTGTTGTCTACAACCAGGAAGACAGAAGGCAATATTTTTTTGAAATACTGACAAGTAGAAGACAAAATATTTTGGAAGAAAGAAGGCATTAAGATAGCCAGATTGCCTTTTTCCTTCTTTCTTTCTTTCTTTTTTTTTTTTTTTTTTCCGGTTGGGCGTTTTATTGGTTCTGGTTTTTAATTTCATTCTATTCAGCAATCTAACATTAATCTTGTATTTTCTGTTTCTCCCCAAGCTGACATGGATAGCCTTGAAGGTAATGACACCCAAGTCCCTCTCACAAACCATTTCACCAGAGTCACAAACGCCACACCCATCACCAGCAACAAGAAAGGGCCATTAAGACGGCAGGGTCTTGACATAGGCATACTCCCCTTGCCAGGCCGCCGAACCTCGGGGCGTCTCTGGGGACCACGTGGTTATTCCGTTGGAGTGGGCTTCGGCATTAACAGTCGTTGGACACTTTGTTGGCCATGTCCGCCTCTCTAGAGAATATATCCAGGCCAGTTACCGTGAGCCCCGCGAGGCACAAAACGCACCACCCTGCTGCCCAGTGTGCTTCCCTGGGGTCCAGTAATTTCCGCATGGGTGGTGTGCACAGGCCGAGGGGATGAAAGCCACAGGGGCCCTGCCTCACGCAGTGCTCCTGTCTTAGGAGATTTGGGGGCAAATGAAAATGAAAAGGAGGTCAGACGAGACACGAGAGGGTTCTTACACAAGGGTCCTGTGTCTCGAACATTCTGAGAAGCCAGTCCGTTCCCTCCCCTCAGTCCAGCTCATACAGGCAGGGACATCCTCAGGAGTATTTTCCCCCAGGGTGGTAAGTTGCCTTCTTGCACGCAAGGTGCTTCCTGGTGACTTCTTGTCCCCATAGTCCTCCTCTTCATCCTCATTAGCAGTTGAGACGTCGCATTTTTTTTAAGTACGGAGAGCTCTGTGCTTCTAGCGCCTTGAGACGGAAATGGAAGAGAACCTCCTCTCCTGTGCCTTCTTCCCTCTCTCGTGTAGTTCTGCGGCTGGCTGGGCGGAAGGCGCCCACCGCTGCCGGCTTCCGGGGAGGTCCCTGGTCCCGTGACACTTTTCCAAGTTCCATGGCATCACCCTTGTGTTGGTCTTCTGAGTGTTAATCTTTTGCAGGTTACATGTCTTAAAGGTGTCAGCGTTTCATGATAAGCCTTGTATTTGGGACCTTGCAACTCAGACATGTGTCCTGTGGAATGATCTAGTCAGGGGTTGGAGGCTGGCCGCTCCGAGCAGGCGTGTGTGTGGTGCTGGTTGGGAGGCGTACAAAAAGGTTCTTTCAAAATTGGGCAGTAAATATTAATCTTAAGCATTTAAATTATACTTTCCAAATGTGTTCTCGTCATTCCTAAGTGTCCAAGCGCATTGCTATTAAATGTGTTTTCAAGTAGGGCAAAATATTTGATACTCGGGGAAAAGCACACTGAAAGCAATACATTGTCTGAAGGCAACCCTGAAACTAATATTTTGCATTTGGGAAAGGTAGGTGCAAAGGTTCCCAGTTTGCCTCTTTCATAATTGGACCCAAGCCAGAGAATAGGACAATCAAGGGGACAAGGCGCTTTCTCGCTCTCCCTTCCCCGGAGAACCCAAAAGACACACAGACTCGTGGGGCTCCTGTTTGTTACTCTTTTGCTTATTCTTGTTTCCCTGCAGTACGCACTTTATAAAAAGATGACACAGGCTGCCATCCTCATCCAGAGTAAATTCCGAAGTTACTACGAACAAAAAAAATTTCAGCAGAGCCGGCGTGCCGCTGTGCTGATCCAGAAGTATTATCGGAGTTATAAGAAGTGTGGCAAAAGACGGCAGGCTCGCCGAACAGCTGTAATTGTACAACAGAAGCTCAGGTGGGTTGAGATTTCGTGGAGGTGAGGCTGTCTAGGGAAGAGAACCTCGGCGTCACCCAAAGAAGGGCCCTGCTACACGTGCGTGGCAGTGGTTTCCTTTATGGGCCATTCTAGATGCCACGTCACCATATAGTGATACCGGTGCTGTCCATCGACCTTTATATCTATTTAACTCCTCCTCTCTCCACCCTGCCCCACTCCCCCCAGTTATCTTGATGCTCGGGTGAGAATTTGGCAGGACCGAAGTTTCCTACTCAGGAGAGGGGCAGCCCCCATCTAAAGTGTGGGGTCACTGCAGGCGAGACCTTGGAAGGCTAGCTAGAGGTGAGCCGTAGTCCGTTTTAGAGAGGGTGATGAAGGCTTTGAGCACCGTAAAATCTGCCGATAGAAGAAGTCCAGGACACAGCAGCCCCGAAGAGTGTATCGGACTCGGGCTAATCAGCCTCTAAACTAAGACAGCCTGGCCGACGCCGGAAGGTCTTCTTCCGCAAAATGAGCTCATGAAGACTTGTGAAAGAACAGTTCAGTGTCACCGTATTTTCAGCCTCGGCACTGTCCCCCCCCCCCCCAACTTTATGGCCAGGCCAGAGTGCCACCCGCTGCCTCTCCCTTCTCTGCCGGCGACGCCCAGGCTCCGCGGGCCCAAGGTGGTACTGCCGGTGCCGTCGGGCTTGCTGCGTGAACTGTCGAATTAAGAGTCGTCAGTCACTGCTCGTCTGTTTTCAACTCTTGCACATTAAGCTTGGCAGTGCCCTACCCGTGACAGTGATGTTCCGGCTTTTTCAGGAGCAGTTTGCTAACCAAAAAGCAGGACCAAGCTGCTCGAAAAATAATGAGGTTTCTACGCCGCTGCCGCCACAGGTAACATTAAGCCTCATCTAGACGGTTTACTCATCAAGAGCAATAAAAACTCACCCTTCTAACCGCTCAGGAAGTCCTGTGTAAAGCGAACTCCCCGAAATCCATCACAGCCAGCGCCCCAAGTTGCAGTAGGGAAGCAGAGCTCTAACTGCAGACTGAGTGGCCGCCCTGGGAGCCCTGCGGAGCACGCTGTAAGCGAGGGAAGGCAGAGGTTCCTGCCGGTGGTTTTCTCTCCTAGTTTGGGTGTGAGGACAGCTTAGTTGGACTGGCCGTTGATGCCCCTTTTCTCTTTATGCCACCCTGCTTTTCACTCCGAGCGCCTCCCGGGCCAGCGTGTGTCCATACGGAGAACACAGTTCCTGTTCTCAGGGAAGGGGTGAAACACGCAGGGTTTCCGACGGAGACTCTGTGCTACGCGGCGGGCGCCCCCTGCTGGAGATGTGCAGCAGAGGGAGGCCGTCTGCGTGGGGCCATGCGTTTTCAGTGAGGAGAAAACGGGCTCCCGGAGACAAGGGCAGAGGCCAGCCAGCAGGGTTCCACTTCGTTCCTTCCGGTCTGAGGTTCCTTTGGGAACACCAGCCTCTTTCCGTAGGACTGGGGGAAGCTGGGGAGATTGTTTTGTTTTCTCGATGAGGTTAGGGTTCTGGGCTGACGTCTGTGACGGTGGCCTTCTGAGCTGTGTTTCCACGACCCTAGGTGGTTTTGTGGCTTCCCTGTGCATCGGGAGCTGTGATCTCCAGCTAGAAAGTAGCTCTCGAACGTCTTCTCTCCTCTCCTTATGTCTCTGTACCAAAAGCCCGAGGGTCCAGGTTCAGTTCGATTCCTCAGAGGCTTCCTTTCACTTCAGTTTTTCTTACTCCCACCACTGTCTGCTTGCCAACTTCGAAAATATTTTTGACCTGGAGACTTAACAGGGGTCAGCCGGCCATCTGCGCTTTTCCCTCTGTTAACAAAAGAATTCTTCTCTGGCCTGTTAAGAGGAAATGTGCACAGAGCCACACATTAGCAGTAATAAAAATTTTAAAGAGAACATTCTTTAGGCTATATTTGGCACTCTCTAGACAGAATGCCATTTGAAAGAAGCTAATGCACGCTTACCAGGCATCCGCAGCCCATTTGCTCTCTACCCTGTAGCGCCTGGGGTCGTCTTCCCCGTGACCAGCTGCCCAGTGAGATATGCATATTGATACTCAAATGGGAAGTCTTGTTAGGAAATGCATATCAAAATATGAGGCACCTGCGACATAATCACATTAGTTCTGGAATCCCTACCGAGGTCAGTCCCTCTTCTCTCCCCCTGAGCCATACCTTTGCCAGCATGAGATTGTCGTTGTTTGGTGACTCACCAGGGACTTCCCTAGGCCCTTTTCTGGATGTGCTCGCCTGTGCTCACACTCCTTCCCTCCTTTCTCCTCTCCCACCTGCAAAATGAAAAGCCCAGGAATTTGTCTACCCTGCCTTGCCGGGAGTGGGGTTAACGCTCTCCCAACAGACTCTATTTTCAAGGAAATCAGCTTTACGTGGCTCTTTTTTAGGCCACCTTGAACAAACCAGAATGTTTGCAAGTTGCATTTTCCTTGTTTCTTCTAGTCTTCGCCTCAAGCTTTGAAAATACGTGTAGGTAATGCGACCCTGGTCATTGTGAGCAAACTCACATAAAGCCCCATGCTCCCCCTCTGTTTTTCTCGTCCAGAGCCACGCCCTGCATTTACATTGGGTGAGTGGAGAGGGTAAGAAGAGAGTTAAGCAAAACTTACGTGCCTAAAAGGCTGGCTTCCCAGAGTGAGCTGAACAAAGGAACGCTTTTATTCTTGTTTTCAAAGCTCTCTCTTTCTAAGCTAGTCGAGAAGAATTTCATGACGGTTTTACCTTTCTTAAGTTCGTATTTTAACTAGTAGTAAGCTCATGAAGGTGGCGAGAAGGTTTGTTGTGAGGAGAACATTAGACTATGGACTCGGAATTCCTATTCGTTCTTTGGGATAGAATAAAGACCCCCCCAGTGGCTCCTTTCCTTACTTGCCCCATAATGGTTTAGATGTTAGGAAGAAAAAAAAATGAGCAGGCAGGTCTTAATAACTTTTGCATACCGACTGTATCAGGTCAGTATTCTCTTCCCATCCCTGTATCCTGAACATCGGTAGAACTGAAAGGTCGAGCTCATACTTTCCCTTGGACGAGCCTAACCCTGTTTCCACTCTGGGGTATTGAGTATTATTTTAAGAGAAACTGTCGTGTGTCATGTCCCTGAGAAGTATTAAAATAGAAAACCTCATTGACACCCCTCTCAGAAAAGGTAGGTAGGTAATGGCTTCAGGAGTCAGTAAGAAGTGTCCTGTTTCTTAAGGAGTTTGCCAAGTCATACGACCCCAGCATTTTCAGACCCTGCGATAAACGGGTGAATTTTCTACCTGCTCATTTCACATACCCCCTCACCACTCTCCTTTTCTTTCTTTCCAAAAAAGAAAAAAAAAAAAAAAGGAACCACTTTATACTCTCTTTTTGTTGTTGAAATAAAGCTGTGTATACGGTTTCTGCTGTGACCCTCACGTGCTAATAGCTGTTTGGTGTTGTTTTACTGTCTAAAGCCCCCTGGTGGACCATAGGCTGTACAAAAGGGTGAGTTTAGCTGCCTGCTAGCCAGTGTTTACCTTTATCTTCCATTTTCAATATTTTGCTTTTTGCTTGCTTGCATGGGGCTGCAGCCTAGGTATGCCAGTAAGTTTCACATCCATTTTGAATGAAATAAGAGAAAATGAAAACTAACCCTAACTTACTAACACTGCTCCGTTATACCACGTGAAAAACAGTCCCAGACAGCAGACGTACAAATGCATGAGTAAGTGCAAGGGAGGCCCTTCTGAAACCGCCGCAGGGCATGCTTAGAACTCGGTGGGGGTCGAACAGGGCTGCGCTGGAAGGAAACGTCAAGCAGGTGGTTACTTGTGACCCAGATCATTGGCCACAATGCACTTCTCTCAACTACCGCCGTGTCCAAATTCCTAAAGCAAGAAAGCTCACCAGGTGATACTGGCAGTTTCGGTTTTGTTTTGTTTTTTTTAAACAACAGATCAACTTCTTGTTTAGAGTTATGTTTTCCCCCATTACCCTGTTCCTATAGTTTTCATTTCGTAAATCTCCCTCTCCCTGGTGCCATGAGGTAAGTCAGCCCATGAAGCTGCCCTTCTGAACCAATGCAGGACATTCATCATTAAAGAGCGAGCAAACCCGACTCCCAGAATTCAGTGGCGATGCCGAATAAAGACAATGCGGCGCAAAGTGTGTTAAATCTGCATATTCTATAATAGCAGTTGAGAGTGGACGTTCCAACAGAATTTGTAGTTTAACGAAATGATGACGAAGAGGTGGCCGATGGACACTATTGGTGTCCTTGAGGTTTTAGACCGTGATGCTGGTTTGTAGCTGTACACAAGGGGCCGACGTCTCTGTCAGAGGTGACTGCCACTTGCCTGAAGGCCGAGGAAAGGATTTATTGTCAGGAAATTGATTTAAAAGACAGGCATATAATTCACCCAGAGCAGACTCGAATGTAGATTGATTTGCCGACTTTTGTCCGATGGACTCAGAGAAGATGCACTTAAACAGGTAACAGCGGAGCAGCGGAGACACCTGTCAACTCCGCTCCATTCAACTACCTCCCTTCTTAGCCCCGACAGTAGTGCTTTAGTCATTTGTAACATTTCCGAGAAGAGATGATAATTCAAAAATTCTAGTACTTCTAATGGTTCTGAAGCTAGTATTTTTCATCTAAGATGCTGGTATTTATTCATTGTATTTTAAGTCAAAGATCAGCTTTTTCTTAAAAAGCTTTCGTAAGATGGTAAATATCTTAGGCTTTGTGGGCCACACAGTCTCTGTCCCACCTGTTCAGCTCTGCCCCTGGAGCATGGGAGCAACACTGGGTAATATGTAAATCAGTGGTTATGGCTGTGTTCCAATAAAACTTTATTTACACAGATACTCATTCGTTTGCTGGATGTGGCCCATGGGCTGCAGATTGTGGACTTACGATGACAAGAGAACTGAGTTTTTATAGGTTCTTCCTCAAACAAGATCCAACCCCTATAAAAGATTTAAAGTCTCATGTGATTAAAACCATGGATAGTCACTGAAAGAAAATGTATTTTAAAAAATACAACAGTTATGTTGGTCTGTAAATTTACTAGCTAGTCTTCTTGAGAGTTAAGCAGTTGTTTACAGTCATCCCACGTGGTAGAACTGGCTCAGAGATGTCTGTGTTTGAAATTTTAAAAAAAGGGCAAAAATCTCCATTTCTTTCTCTTTCCATTCCCTTTCACTCCCTGTGTACACAGACAATATTTGTTTCCACCTAGAAAAAAAACAAAACAAAAAAACAACCCTGCAAAAGAGCAAATGCATGCCCTAAGGTTCAGTTTAACAAAAAGCTGTAGTATCTTGCATGTCACATGCAATGAACACGACCCCTGCAAGGCACCAGCATCTAGCAAAAGTGGTTGCTTATGCACTCTGGAAGCTTGTTAGCTTCTGGTACGGCGGTGAGCATTTTTTAAGAGACCATTTTCTGAAGGTGCCTTCCAATGTGAGGGTCCCCCCACCATAACTTCCTTAGCACCTGCTGCATCCATCGCAGGCTCCTAAAAGTCCTCTCCAGGCATGGAAAGTTGGCATTTCCTGACACTCCCGTGCCTCCCAGGCCTTGAGGACTTTGAGAAAGAGCAGCTGAGAAGCTCAGGCCCCTTCTAGCGTGGTCCTGTCTCGCTCCCCGTGTGGATGGAGGGCTAGCCTCTCTGTGGCTTTGTCTAGCTACTGGTAAGATCTAGCCCCCCTCTTGGTTCGGTCACGAGACCAGAGACGTCCCTCCAACAGCCCCCACGTTGAAATGACTCGTGAGGAGACAGGGCATTCTCTGAGAAGAGTTCTTATCGGTGGAGTTTGTGTGAAAGGACCCTAAGATGCTTTTTTTTTTTTGGATTAATGCGCAAAGCTTACCCTACTGAAGA